CACAGTTTGGTGAAGGGTATAATGATATTAGCTGTGTATGAACAGTCATGAACTTTTTGGAGTTCTACTGCAAATAGCATGGTATAATAATAGAAGGTAACAGCACGTGTTGTTGTACAAAAAACGATACAACAACCACATGGAAATTTGTTGTTGTAAGTTCTACTAGTGTCAACTCATTTGACAGAAAAATGTAAATAAACAAACAAATTATCATCAAATTATTTTTATTTTGAAAATGTAATATTTTAGAATCCTCAAAATAAAAATTGAAAAACGTGAATGAAAATCTATCAAATTTATATTTCTATCTATTCCACATCTTTCCTATAATTGAGCCATTGATATATATTTGTGTAACACATATGAAAATGCTGGGAATAGCGAGTTATTCCTTGAAGAAAGATTTGCTTCCTCAAACTTTTCCAGCTGGCAGATTGAGTAAATTGAATACAGGAGCACATTTAAAAAAGAACAATTTTAAATTGTATGCGTTCCCAATTTTCCTGTTGGGTGATTTTTAAAAACATAATTTGTCAAATTCATATTGACACTAGTATAACGTTGGAATCAAATCAGCTGGGATTTGCTGTTAGCTTTTATAATTGTACCATGTGCAAATAGCTATGAACCTGATCGAAGAGTTCGAAGAGCCAAATTACTACCACATTGACAGGAAAATTAAATAATTAAATAAAATGGGAGGTCATTGAAAATGTTCCTGAAAGATCAACAGACGGTTGGAAAATGGAGCCAAAACTTACAAATTAAGGCCATTTTGGTGGATATTTATATGGAATCTTTGTTCAAAATATGGTTCGATAAGAACCAAAAATACATAAAATATTGCGGGATCTGTATATGGGGCTATATCAACACATGAATCTATATTGAGAATTTTCTGGAAATAGTTTTTTATCTTCCAAGAAACCTGAATGTAATCTAACATCCACTTCGTTTGGAAAATATGGCTAAAGTCTTGAAACCCCCTACCGATATCAGCTTTTCAATACCAATGATCCTATGAGTAGTGGCAATGTATGTGTTTCAATGTTATATCTAAAAATTAAGGTCTCTATCGGGACTTCAACTGATAGACAGGTATAGAATTTCATTTGAACAAGGGTCTCTAATAATAAACCTCCCCATAAATCGGGAACAAATTTTGGACATTTTGCAACTCGTAAAAACCCAACTTAACCAACCACACATTTTCTACCGCAATTCTCTATTGGTTAAAATATTTCATTCTATTCTATTCATCAGGTGTTTTGTCTCAAATACAATCGAATTTTATTTCAATTTCATTGGTTAATTCTATTAGCAAAAGTAACGAGGCGGCATAATGTCGATTTTTTATTTATTTAGAAATAGACAAACCTCCCATTACGAAAAACGTAAACAAATAAAAAAATCGGCGCATACAAACAATTGACCAACAACATGCCACATACTTGTCTGACAAATCCACCACCACAGCCACCAACAATGCCCAAAAACAACTTGGATTGCCACCAGTATTGGAGTATATCAAGCACACACAACAAACACATCATCAAACTAGCCAGCCACACATAATTCCCCATCTCCATCGAATGAACGATCGATCGCTCCATCCATTCAGCCATCCATCCATACACATCCATCAGTTATTGTGACAAAATCGGCATCTGGACTTGGTGCTGCTGCTGCAAAAAACATTCATCTGATCATTTGTAAAATTGTTGTCGTCGTGGACGACGTATGCGACGAACACACAATTTACACAATTGTTTTGATGTATGTGTATATGTATGTAGCTGGAGGTGTACTACACTCGTATATGGGAGGCTGTTTTTGGACACAAACATATGGACAGACGGACAGATGTCTGTCAGGCATACTCTCACATAAATATATTTGTTGATATATGTTTTATTTTGTTTCTGCGACAAAACAATAGACAATTGCATTTTTCGATATTTACCACATGACATGACATACGATCGATCATTCGAAAAAAAATATATACGAGGGTAAATAGATATAAGATCGAACTTTAAATGTGATGAACCATTCGATAGTGTTATTAGAAAAATTGAGGGTATACATTGGAATTTCATACGACTGCGAATACTACACGAGTAGATTGAAATGCCGAAAATCGATGGTATCGTTATAGGGGCCTAATTAGGGCCAATCTAGTATATTTTTGTGTTTGACTGGCTTTAGACAAAACATAGTTGTGTATAACATTCTACCGGGCTCCCTATCCTAATTTTGTTAATTTCCAAATGTCCGAAATGTCAAATAAATGTCCGAATTTAAAATAGAAAAATTCATACTTTTTTATTAGTCCTATTCTGGGACCTCTATTCAATTGTCAGAAAAGGTGCTGCGTCCTACAGGCACCCTATCCCAATTTTGGTGGGGTCCTATCAGATGGCGCCCAACATTGTGTTAAACTAAATGTTCGAAAAGAAAAATACATATTTTTTTTATTAGCCTAATTTTGGGTCATCTGTTTAATTTTCAGAAAAGTTTCAACCTGGCTGTGTTTAGATTGAATTTGGAAACAGCGTGGCTGTCTTGTTTGGTTGCCAATATGGCGCCCAACGTTTTTCTGTAAAATATATTTCTGAAAATGGAAAATTTCCAAATTTTAACTGCAATTGAAATACACCAATCGTATCTTGTTCCGCCTATAGTACCTCAATTATACCTCTGAATTAATGAAAATTTGGATCATATTATGGAGGTGCATTCAGGATGCCCTGCCATGTATGTTATGGAAAATCTGCCCCTAAATGATACGTCTGAATTAATGAGCGAACTTTCGAACTTCGGTTAAAATTCATACCTTGGTTAAATTCAGAAATGTTCAGCAGGAGATTAACCTGTCGATTTAGATTGATTTAGATAGAATCACTACACAAGTCGTTAATGAAAGCGCTAGACATGAGAATATAAACATCCGATACTTACTTTCATTGTGGCGCCCAACATATAAAAATTTTTGATTTCTATACAGATATTTTGGATCTACGAATAAAATAAGCTGTCGCGGTTAGTCAACAGGTCTAAAGGAAGGGTCTCTGAGGAAATGACAAAGTGTCAATGATTTTCTGTACTAACGATGCGATAATTAACAAAACACCATGGGTTTCTAGTATTCTACCCTAAAGGATATCTCCCGAATACCGCGGTTTCAGTTTATACGGTTTGCAGTCAGGTTGTTGACAGTATTCGAACGGAGGATCATTGATACTTGGACGCCACAATTAATATTAGTTATTGCCTGAAATGACGTAAACGGCAACCTATTCCGACAGAGTGAATCCGTATTCAGTCTCATTGAGGAGTGCGGCAGTATCTGTCGAAGACAAGACAGAATCCCAGCCCACATATGAAACGCCACCCCTATGGTGAAAGAAGAGGAGGATGCTGATTTGACTGTTAGTTCTAGAGTATGTCTGTTGATTATGTTAGCCCTTTCAGCTGGAAAGTGTTAGTTGTGCGTCGAATTCGGCCAAATATACTTGGGAATACCCGCTATACTCCAGCACTCAAAACCCAAAGAAACATTGGGTTTAAGGAGTATCGGAGGGCAATTTGCTATTGCCAACGTTATGTAGATGAGGTCCCAAACATGAGAAGTAATTCCTTTGGATCAAGAACACTATGATGGAGGGTATGACTTGTTAGTCACTATCGAAGTTAGCACTTGTATACTTGTTGTATTATTAAAACCTTAAAGCGAATAATAAAACCTGTGCTTTATACCGCAGACCATAGGCTAAGGGTATATATCTGTTAGTCTTGGGCAATCTCGTTCAGTTCAGTGATCGAACGAACTAGATTATTTTTCAAAAGTGAACTAGGTCGTTCACCTCGTTCAGTTGCTTATATCGTTCAAATGGTTACTCAGTTCAATTGGCATGGTAGGGTATTCCAATAAAGTTCCTGCAGTATAACCATCCTTAAAGAATTATTACCTTTCACAGTCATTCGAAGGACTTTCCCATCTATTTTCTCCAATTTGTTAGTGGGTGGTGGTCGGTGACATAACTCCGTTATATTCGGTAGAACACTGGTTTGCCCTGCAGTTGTTGATCCGGACACCTTTGCCTCTTTTCCATGGTTTCCAGTTCCATGGTGGTCTATGCGGGTGCTTTGCTTGTAAATGCCGCTTCATATTATTTACTGACCCTTCAGCTATACGTAAAAACAACTGCAGCATTTGATCGTTTAAGCACTGCATTCCATGAAATGGGACAACAATATATTACACGTACCTTCATTCAATTTAATAGATTTTATATGAACTTGTTTTTATTTGACGCCGTTCAATTGGTCAAAGTCATTGCACCTGTAAACAACACTGAATGTGCAGAAGAAAATGCAATGTCGTTCAGTGACCGAAGGCGTTCATTGAGCAAACTCGTTCAGTGAGCAACGTCGTTCAGATACCGACTGAGTTTGATAAACAAAATCGTTCAGTGAACGACAATAATAAAAACTGAACTATGTCGTTCACTCGTTCAATGGACTGACACGTTCAATTGAACTAGGTCGTTCACGAACGACACAAGACTAATATCTGTTGGCAAAACCGACTGACATTTTTTTAATTTTTGTCTATAACTTCGGCATCAAAATCGGAAAGAGAATTTTAATCCCTCCTATAGCGCCAAACCTCATCTTCTCAATAGAAAAACATTTGACCAGCTTTTCCATAGCTTCGCACAAATTGAAATCCAACAAAATTCGTTTCCAAAAACAACAAGGAAAGCCATTTGCAGCTGTCGCACGTTTTTGCCCGCGCGGGCAAATGGCTTGTAAACGAATTTGTACATGAGTACATAATGTCCAACCATTTTTGGATTAATGCGATGTTGTGTGTGCAACATGTTCCCATTGATCAGATACAACATTTAAGACTTATCTATTATTTATTGTTGTTGCTTTAAATAGAAGAAGAAGAAAAAAATCTACACGATACAATCAAGCGATAAATAAATAAAATACAAAAAATATGAATTATTTCTTTAGTTTTAAGACAACAAAAATGCCCAAAGCCACCAAGAGGACAACAAACCCAAGGGAGCCCATTAAGATTAATGATTTCGACGATGAAGATGGATGACCATGGGGATTATAGGTATTCGACTGCGTGTCCTCGGGCATTATGACACGAAAAGATATTTTAGAAATTTCCGATATTTCTGTTTGATTTGCATGTTTTTCCGACATATCCCGCTTACGCCGTAACAATTGATTCGAATTCGGAGCAAAACATTGATCGGTTGCAACATGACAATCATGATAATCCAAACAGCCGGTAATACGCATTGTCATCAGTAATTCTTCTCCACTGTGCATGCCCTGGAACATAACCGCCTTGAAGGGTAGCTTATAACCCAAGGGAGCATCGAACGAGGGTGGTTGGGTACAAATACCCTTCATGGAGGGATTGAGGCATCCCTGGGAGGTTATCAATTGTACATTATTTAGCACCTCTCCTGAGGGGGAAATACGCTGCAGACTAACATCGGTTAGTTTGGTGAAATTCCAACCTGAAAAGGATACAATTTCGGGGTCATTTTTTATTCGGAGAAAATTAATTTCTTAGTTACCATCTCCCGTCAGAACATGGGCCCGCAGCAATAAATCCTCTCCCAATTGCACAGCCTCACTGTTTTGCAAAGTTCGAGCATATCCTTGGGGTGTTTTTCGCAACAGTTCCACATGAGTTCTAAAAGAGTTCTGGGAGCCTCCCTTGGCCAGGGTACCCAAACTGCGGGCTTGCCTACAAAATGAGAAGTTGGGGAAATTCGGAATTATATTGTAACCATTTTTAAGAAAGGTAACTAGAAACTTACACGTCATTGGCCACGCCCATTTTCAGGGCATGTGTCTTAACGGCCACCCGACTTTGTGATTTACAATGCAGTGTCAAAATATTGTCCGATCCAGTACGCATACCCCTTATGGCAGGAAATCTCAAACGCAAACACAAATCCGTACCACACGATTGAACTCCACACTTCGTGAAATCTTCTCCTGCAATATCCACCACAACATAACTTTTATGCAACTTCAGCTCACAACGTTTATCACTGGAGTCATTATCCACAGTCGGAGTGGCACCAATGAAACTATCCACCTTCAGAACGGAACGGAAATAGCCTCCCTGAGCGGGCTTCTCCTGTTGCAAACAACGCATTTCATGGACCCTTAACCTCAATGGAGGTACTGAGGGGTCTGTATTTTGCAATACCGTCTGTTGATCTGCCTGCGAAGGTGGTAAATAAACAGGAGCCGGTGTTGACGGTCGACTAAAGGGTGTATCACTTTGTATGACAGCCGGCTGGGGTACCTGATAATCATAACCCTCGGAAGCAGGGCCATTGAATTCTTCATCATTCCCAAAGGCAGGGGTGTCATGACCAATTGGTGGCAAAAATTGTGTGGGTAGATCTTCTACAAAAATCGGTTTGGTTGGTTTTTTTGTGGTCGTCGTGGTGGTGGTTGTCGTTGTCGTGGAGGTGGTCGGGGTGGGTTTTTCGTAAACATAACCGCTGAAGGGATATCGGTTAGTGTCGCTGGAAAAAAAAGTAAAAAATGTGTTCATCTTGGGTTGGATCGAACTTTGTATGCCCTCCTCCATGTGGACTCAACAGGCGAGGATCTATGGTCCCGTCTAAAAACTTTCAAGTCCCTAAAATTTGTCGCGACCCTCAAAAATAAAGCTATACAAAAACATGGACATATATTGAAAATGTTCTGCAAGGGCTCTTCATGCTCTGAGAATTCGAACTTCAGTCACATTTGGTTAAATATGCGACTAGGACCTTAGGTGGGGGTTATGTCCAAATACGAAGCTAAAGCATGGATTTTTTAAAAAAAAATTTGATGAGAGACTATCGGAGCTATAAGCGTGGATTTTTCAAAGAATTTTGTTGGGGGACTATCGGAGCTATAAAGGCGGATTTTTAAAGAATTATTTTGAGTGACTATCGAAGCTATACCAGTGGATTTTTTAAAGAATTTTGTTGAGGGACTATCGGAGCTATAATTGTGGATTTTTTAAATAATTTTGTTGAGGGTCTATCGGAGCTATAATCGTGGATTTTTTAAAGAATTTTGTTGTGGGTCTATCGGAGTTATAAGAGTGGATTTATTAAAGAATTTTGTTGAGGGTCTATCGGAGCTATAAGCGTGGACTTTTTTAAAGAATTTTGTTGAGGAAATATCAGAGCTAAAAGCGTGGATTTTTTTAAAGAATTTTGTTGAGGAAATATCAGAGCTATAAGCGTGGATATGATTAAAAAAGTGGGTTTTTTAAAGGATTTTTTTAAAGAATTTTTTTGAGAGGCTATCGGACCTTTAAGCGTGGATTCATAAAAGAATTTTGTTAAGGGACTATCGGAGTTATAAGCTTAAAGAATTTTGTTGAGGGACAATCGAAGCTGTAAGCTTGGACTTTTAAAAGAATTTTATTGAGGGTCTTTCGGAGCTTTAAGAGTTGATTTTTATAGAATTTTGTTAAGGGTCTCGGAGCTTTATTAGTGTATTTTTAACGAATTTTGTTGTTGGGCAATCCGAGCTTTAAGCGTGGATTTTTAAAAAATTTTGTTGAGGGGCTGTCAGAACTATAAGCGTGGATTTTTTTAAGAATTTTGTAGAGGGACTATCAAAGATATAGCATGGATTTTTTTTAAAGAATTTTGTTAAGGGGCATTTGGAACCCAAAATACCATGAAAAATTTGGATTGGACCTTCACATAAATTCCGTCGGAAGGCATATATAGAGGCTACGTCATATTTGGAGGCTATCGAAAACCGGGCTATATTTTCAAATTAAATAAAATACATTATCTCTTTATGCTGAAGAATATAAAAAAAAACCCAAAAAATTATTATACCTCTGTGCTGGACTTTCATAGACAGGTCTCTCCTCCGTGGGTGGCCCATATTCCCGATGTAATGGTATAAATTGCCGCTGATCCTTTGCACTGCGATTATCAACAATTTCCGGTAAATTAAATACCGTTGTAGACGAAGTGACTGGAGCAACGGGGGCTGGAGTTACAATTTGTGGTGGTGGTGCAGCTGCTACAGGAGGAGGGCCATAAATTTGCGATAGTGGTGAACCATAAACTGCAGAGGGTAATGGTGGTGATTGAAAAGCCAATGATATCGATTGTTGTTGTTGTGCAGCCGGTATATGATGATGATGTTGAAAATAACTCAATTCTGGGGCAAAGAAATGCGAACCATCAGCCCATGAAAAGTTTAATAGGCTAAGGAGTACAAGAAGAAATCTTTCTTTGAATGTTGTTGACATTTTGCCGGATGTGAGGTGACTGTGACGAATTTTCGAAATTCAGCGTATTTTTATAAGGTGAAATGATTTCTTTTACAATTGAAAAATGTTTTTATAAAACCGTGATATTTTCGATATATTGATTTTTTTCTTCTTCAAAAAATTACAACAAATGAAAGTGAATACTATGATTTTCGACATCACGCATTTCTTGTTCTTGCACACTTTCCTTGCTCACGTTCATTGCGTCGGAGCAAGTTAGAAATTTCGGTAGCAAGTTTTGAAGAAATCTGTTTTGTTGTTGTTGTGTGTTTTGTAGACATAGGTCATGTCGGTGTTTTTGTTATTCGTGAAATTTAAAAAAAAAAGTTTGATTCAGTTATCGAATGGTTCAATATTGTGTTTAATGTCATATAACAAGTGGTGTGTGTTGGGGAATTAGTTCCTTCTTGATGGGAAATATGTAAAATGGTTCGGAAGTTAATTATATAACTTTTATGGCATCGGCAGAAGTTATATCAAAACGTCATACGTAAAAAAGCTACAGTAAAACATTAGTCTGTCCATCTATTTTTGTAATCGAAGTATTTTTAAAACCCTCCACCGAAATATTCACCAGAGAACCCATAAATTGCTCACGTCTTTGGAATTATGGGTTCTTAGATCATAAAAACATATTTTCAGAAAATTTTCAATATGGATCCTTATTTTGATATAGCAAGTATAGCCAAAAAGAAACGGCTTTTTTGCGGGTTTATATGAAATTTGTATACAAGATAGCCTTGCAGAACCCTTTATACCAAATTACAGCCTAATCGGTCGGAAAATGCGTTGTTTGAAAAACATAAGTAACAACCCAGGCCCCCTCCCTTTTATGGAGGCTACCCGGAAAATTGGGAAAGTGTTGATCATTTTTGGTAGGGAAATTTTCTACTCAATGACAATAGAAAAATATAAAATACAAGCTCCCCAAAATAACAAAGTTTGGGATATAGCGGAATTTCCTTACAGCTGTGTTGGGTACCAGGACACGGTGATATCATGGGTGATGAAAGAGCAGACGAATTAGCTAGACGAGGATCTCAATCTATAGATCTAGCAATTGATGGCTCAACTTTGAGGCGTTCTTCGACAAAAGAGCATATGAAGTTTTGCACAACGAACCTAGGTGCAATGTGTCAAAATCTATTTGGCCGACTTTGTCTACCAAAAGCATACACACTCACTGTTGAATCTGAGCAAAGCTGAAATAAGAGTAATGACAGGAATCATTACTGGTCATTGCAATATCAGGGCCTTTACCAGTAAATGGGACCATGATGCTACTGATTACTGTAGACTCTGCGTTGACGAGGAGGAGACGGAGACAATTGAGCATCTCCTGTGTCGCTTCCCTGTCCTGGCCTACATACTTAGTCTTAGTTTCTTCTCAACAACGAAACCTGCCCTAATCTACAGCATCATTAGAAACCTAAAGTGGTTGGGAAAGTGCAACCTTGGCACGTAATATATTTTCTGTCCGATCTCTATAGCCATCGATACTATCTCATACTTACTTGTAAGCTTCCCATCTCTCTATCCCCCATTCGACTATATGATACCCTTCATGTACATATGTATCCTAACAATTTCATGTCAATGTTCTCTCGAAGGAACATAGACCTTTCTGCAACCTATTCTAAATTTAATTTCAATCGCGCAGATTTAGAATCGTTTACGTGCAATGGGACAAATCGATTTATGGCAAACTTGATACACGCGACTCAGTATGCCGCTCTGTTAAAAATATAATCTCAATCAGAAACCCGTTCGAAATATATATGGTACCTTGTGCCGTGCAAATCGAAAGATATATGGGGACTTTGTTGCCCAATTTACCTTAAATCGGACGAAAATATATACATGAGCTATATATAAATCTGTCCCAATTTTCTCGAAACTTGCCACACATCATTCTAGGCTTAATTCAGTACGATGTGCCAAAATTTTTGCAAATCGAAGGTTATATAGGAACATTGGTACACTATTTCTATTAAATCGGACGAAAATATATATGGGAGATATATCTAAATCCGAACAGACTATCACGAAACTTAACACACATCATTCTAGACATATTTCATTTCGTGCAAATCGACATATATATAATGACTTTGGTGCACCATTTATCTTAAATCGGACGAAAATATATATGGGAGCTATATTTAAATCTGAACCAATTTTCTCCGATTTCAATAGGGTTCGTCCTTGGGTCAAATAAGTGAACTGTGCCAAATTTCATCCAAATCGGATCATAAATGCGACTTGTACTTTGTTCACAAATATACAACAAATATACATCGACGGACGGACAGACGGACATGCATAAATCGACTCAAAAAGAGAAAATATAAAATCAAAATAGGAAAATAAACACGACAAAAAGTTTCTCTGTGCCACCAAAAATACACTTCAAAATTGTTTTCACCCTCTCTGCCAAAAAACCTGTATTAAAAGTTTTATGAATTGCATTCATAAAACGCAGAAAATCGGGCATTAGCAACATTTTCTGAACGCTATCCATTTAATATATGAATGATATTTGCTGTATATGTAGATCCAAACAGATTTCCCGCTCAATTTTGAATATGTTGGTATATACATTTATCCGAGCATAAACAATTTACTATATAGGTTCATTTAATTGACAGCGACCCAGCCGAACATAACACCGCTTCTTATTACTTTTTTACCAGTTAAACTATGCACAAAAAAATATAAATCGAATTATCTACAGAAATACTTGTCCTTCAAGGAATGGTGTAGGAATTCTGCCTGAAATGGTCTGAATAACGTGGCGGCGACCGAAATTTCATTCATTAGGTGAGGTAAATTATGACAACACCTTCAAAGTACTGGCAATAAGGCGGCACCAGGATATGAAGGCTTCTCAAAACAGAAACCAGCCTGGTTTGCGTATTTACAGATTTTAGAGTAAATTCATATTCGATTGAGATATACCTGGTTGATATAATTACTTAAAAATTGTAAATGCCGTTTCCAATATCGTATTAAAGACCGTATATGCTACTTTCAATATCATCGGGCCTTATTGTACTCCTAATAGCCAGTAACAAACTTAAATTATCCAAAGTTCAGTTTCGGGACAGAAGAACTTACGCAGCCTGTTGAACACTTCCTATTTTGTGAAGACATTTTTCGATTCCGAATATCTGCAACCAGAAATTCATTGGCTGTTTATTACGTCGTGCGTAAGACACTAGCAGGTCCGTGAATTAAAAAAAATATTCACATTCTTGCCTCTCTGAGACTACTTGCACACCTAACCTCCTGAAACTGAAATATATCGCTTTCATAACAGCATGGAGAAATATTTCAAATTTCCTTGATGTAATGTCTAATGCTGTCTCGATACGATTTCTAACATGATAAAAGTATATCCGATCCATTGTGCGCTGGAAATGAAGCGAGGAACCTCATTTTGTAACCATATTTGGGCGACGCTGAGTCCTGTTGGAAAGTCCAAGGTGCAGCCAAAATGTTTGTGTGCCCAAAGCTTTAATACACCCTCCAGAATATTTTCGCGATAATATTCGACATTTATTCTGATGCCCACGGTCGATTAATACGAGCGCAGAGCGACCATCGGCTGTTATGGCAGCCCACACCATCACCATGGCCGGCGCTTGAGTTCTGGTGGCCAACCGAAGGTGCACATTTTCAGCTGACCTCTTTGGCAAGTAAACACAATCATTTTGTTTGTTTACAAACTTCAGGACAATAAATGTTTTCTCATCGGAGAATACCAAATTCGGCAGTTCACCACATTCAGTCAAACGAAGCAACTCTTTAGCTCTTTTGAGTCTATTTTCTTTCTATGTTCCTGCACTCGCAGGAGTTTCAATGACTGTAAGCTCGATGTAAGCTCATTTTTCAATATTTGCCGAATGGAATATTGCGATATGTTCAGCTCCCGAGCCATTTTTCGGCCACTGTGACGCGGGTTTCGATTAAGTCACTTCTATATTTTTCGAACCATTTCTGCTGATGTTGCTGTTTTCTTCCGTCCACTTCCTTGACTTCGGGCTACGCTGCCAGTATCACGGCAACGAACGATGGAACGAGACACAAAATATTTATTCATATTTAAATGCTGGAGTGTTCTAATGATAGTCTCAATTTGGTTGTAGTTTTTTCATCTAACCCTATATGTGTTTGTTAATTATTTTTTATCGGTTTCGTATGGCTTTGTTTTAGAAAATAGAAAATAAAACTGAACTGAGAACGAACTTAACATGTTTCATTTTTTCTACAAATACGTCAGCAAAGTTATTAATGCCTTTCGGTCTGAAAGGGATCTGCAATCGCAAACCTTTCCCTTCCCTTTTCAAACAGGATTCAAGTATGCAATTCAAAACACTTTTCCAATGCCATGTCGTGTAAAACTGATAATGGCAGATTTTTTCCTCTTTATATCTCAATTTTATATTGAAAATCTTCCCAATTCCTAATTAATACCTAAAGGCTTTTTGTGGACTCATAATAAAATATTCCCCCAAAAGTATATATAATGTTTGCAAAGTATTTATAGACTGTCTCAAGAATTTGTCATTATTATTTTACTGCAATTACAATTCTTATCAGTAGATCAAAATCTTGAATTAGCCTTTCACGAGTTTGTTTGTTTGTTGTGCCTTAATTAACTTCACTTGTCAGTTCATTAAAAGTTAATTAATTAATTTTTCAAATACCATATCTCACCACTACATCGACAGGTGTAACGTTGCGTAATTGTAATGCCTTTGATCTTTTGATGCCAACGGACAAGCATCTTAGTTGCAGGTCTAGTTTTTTGTCCACATCTATCCTTTAGAATCGAACTAGTTTAGTTTTTCTTGTTTTTTTCCCTCGATCACCAACAACAACAACATATCGTAAAATATGTTAACAGCCACAACAACAATTGCTACACTTCAACTATGATTGTTGTTGGTTGCATTTACAGTACGCATTCGCCAATT